GTTTGTTTCCCTCGCTGACGCTCAGGATTCTAATTTAGAATCACTCGCTGCGCTCGTGATTCAACTTTAGAATCCTTCGCTTGCTCGGTCATCCAAATCGAGCACGCGGTTAAAAAGGAACTTTCCACTCTTGTATAATAAATAACTATTATTGTAATACACCATACAAGAGACACAAGTAAATTAAAAACATGATAGACAAAACGTACACAATATAAAACCTCTTCATCCTGAAGGTATCATAGATCGGATTTTCGCTTTAACTTCTGCATTTCTACACAAGGTATCTTAGGTTAGGAATCGATGTCAGTGTTTGTGAGGTTCGAAAGAAATGAATCTAAGAAATACTATACCCGGTCCAGCTCTGGTGTAAGCTTGGCAGAGTGTCATTTATTTGTGAATTACCTGAAACCCTGTATTAGTGTAGGAAGCAAACTGGAAGCAGATTCTTTACATGCTATGGTCAATTGGAGCGAAAATAAGTAAGTAGTCGTTTGTTTTACAACCCTATCTATATATATAAAACTCAAAGGTGATTGACTGACTGACATAGTGATCTATCAACTCACAGCCCAAACCATTGGACGGATCGGGCAGAAATTTGGCATGCAGGTAGATGTTATGATGTAGGCATCCGCTAAGAAAGGATTTTGATCAGTTCTACCCCCAAGGGGATAAAATAGGGAATCCAAGTTTGTATGAAACTTTGTCAATTTTAAACCGATCGGGCTGAGACTTTGTATGCAGGTACAGGTAAAATATAGATGAATGTCATTGTGTATGAGAACAAAAACTGTAGTCTACACTTCAGCTCTACACCGAAGTGAAGCGAGGGCGGGCCGCTAGTAAAATATAAAACCTTTTTACAAAACTAAACTCTCTCTCACATATAAATAAGATATCTAAATAATTATAGCAAACATTACATTAATAATTTATAATATTAATAATTTATTATTATATATACTAATGCATAAAATTTAAGAAAAACAAAACCCTAATATCAATAAATTTAAGCTTTTACGCAAGATCACCATCATGAAGCTATCTTATTTAATCTTCCTGAAAGAAGATCATGTAAGTATATTTGAATCTGTATTTCCTTGGTTATGTTATGTTATGAGCAACCGATTCCACGGAACGGGATAGGTATCGCTTAGCTTCAACGGCCTGGCCATTACCCCGCCCGACTAACAGCCGAAGATGTGGAAACGAGTGTTTTAGAATTTCTTATCAAATGTAGCAATGATGCTCGCATACAAAGTATCTATCTATACATGACGTGTCTTAAGAACACTCATACGGGTATGTGCTCGGTATGATTGGTAAATATATTCTCGGCAAATAAATAGTTGTGAATTAAACACTGACCATGCAAAGGGCGTGAATAAAAATATGAATTGAAAAATATCCAATATATGACATTATTTTAAAATGTGTGGTTTGTGTGTTACTTTAATGATCATTAACTTAAGTTATATTTCTAGATATCATAACGTTTTTTTGTTATGATTAAAGATATATGTACATGTACATGCACTTCGCATTAGTATTAGCACATTAAGTACCATCGTGTAAGTTTTTTCAATCTTTGTAAATCTTAATTAAACAATTTTGTATAACTGTAGCTTTTTATTACTTAAATTAACTTGCCCTGTTGCTTTCTGTCATTAAATATATATTAATTACTGGACACGCTAATATTACCATTGAATTAAGGATGTACTACATATTACTTTTTTATGAGCTTGAACCGTCCAAGCCACAGAACAGAAAAAGGTTGTAAGGGTGATCATAGACCGTTTGTAACGGAACCGATGACGCCGGCCCGCCTCAATTACACTTCCACTTAATAGATAATAGTCATTCAAACGGCTCTACATCAAACAATCGAACAAATCAGTGCTCACACAATCAGAACAACGTTTTGGTCAAGTTATGAGCATTTGCTCACATATAACTGTGACGCGCCCCGCCCACAAGGTCTCTTCTAACCTCTTTCTGTGTTCTGTGCGGTCAGGCAAGTTCCGGAGGCCATGTAATATTTACTGAGTGTCTCTACCTACCGATTACAGAGAAACATATATTTCAGTTTTGCACGTAAAATAAAAGCAAAGAGGAGCTCGATGGCGGAGGAGCTTGATGACGCTGGTGGTTAGCGCGTTCGGCTGCGATCGTTGAAGTTAAGCAACTTTCGCAGTGGTTGGTCATTGGATGGGTGACCAAAAATCTTCTATCTCGATTTCCTCCGTGCTTCGGAAGGCACGTTAAGCCGTTGGTCCCGGCTGCATCTGCAGTCTTTAGCACCCGCCAATCAGCACTGGGCCCGCGTGGTGGTGGGTCATGGCCCAATCTCCCTATTCCATCCATAGGGAACATTTTTTTCACTCTGTAAAGGGAAATTAATTTAAACAAGTTTCTATTAATTATATGTATTAATTACTTAGCCTATCGTGGTTGGTGAATGTCTGTGGTGCGATAAAAGTTAAAAGATTTTAATACAACTTTATAGTAAAATCTTATACGGAATATCTCTACCCGTTTCTATTTGACTATTTCAAAGTCAGCTTTCTCGATAAGCTTCTGTGAGGTAGTCAACACTACAGTAAAGTTATCACGTCCACTTGACCGAAATAGCGTATAGTATTTTAAAGATTTCAGTAATTCTTCAGTTGTGTGTTATGTGAACTATTGTGTAGTGAATAAAGAACTGTCAAGCGTGAACTGGTATATAATTTTGAACCCCATCCCGACACGTAACAGTATAAACATTTATCTATCTACTAATTTCAGTATCTTTTGATACTTTGATTGGAAACAGGTTAGGCAATTTCCCCTGAAGGATTTTCAAGACTTTAAGTTTTACATTGTAATTCGATATTGGTTCATGCTAACGGTACTGAGACAAAACATGGAGTAACTTATCCAAGCTTATTCCACGTTTATTATTATGGAGGTTAAAGTTTACCTATTGCTCGATCGCTCGCCAAGTCCATTTCCCGGGGCAATATTATTAAATTATCTGCCTTGCAGTCGTCCCGGCTCGGCTTATTGGACCCCGTGGACAAGGTGAAGTGAAACACCCATCAATGTCTTTACACCCTTACATACGTATGTAAGCACGAATGTTTATCTAGCTTTGCGTAAGACGATGATAACAGAAAGGCTTGTATTTCTTTCAGCTATCTCAATGTTTACGGATCGCTCTTACTTCACAATATACGTTGTTAGATTAGCTCTTAGCATTATCCTGTTGTAGTGGTCCTCAGTTTTCTATAAGTATTGTAATTTAATCTAGGAATTAACTTAAGCCCTCTTTAACTTCCCTCTTATAATAGAGTAAATCTCATTTCCTTTTAATTTAAAACTACAATAAAAGGCAATAAAAAGCTGACTGACAAGCAGGAGGACGTAATACAGTATTATGATTATCCAAACTGTTACTTCATAAATGTTAGTGACGTTGAATTGTATTTTTGCCGGTTGTTTGTTGTCGTCGATCAAAGGCCGCTGTAGAAAGAATTTCAAACTCGCTTGGGAAAGAAATAGGTCATGATGAAAGTATTTATTTAACATATAGGCACAAAAAGGTTTACTTTGGCGAAAGCGAGCTTTCTGCTTATAGAAAAAAGAAACAATAGGATACCCGCCGCGCATCCGACCTTGCCCGCTGCGTTGTGTGACGCCAACCTATGTATATACTTTCCGTTCAATTCGCTTCGAGAGAAATTTCGCTAGAAATTGCTTCATCACACATAAACCTTTGTGCCTTCATAAAGCTTCAAATATAAAATTTGTATTGCGCTATAACAGGGGAATGGATAGTAGGAGATTGTTTTATTTTATTGCGTGTCTTGTGTCTAGGCTAACATAGATTTGTGTATGAATGTCTTGTAAGTATGTTAGTTTATATGTTATCGAAAAATCCAAAGAATTGATACAAAATTCAGTATTAAATCTTACAATCAAAATTGTAACTTACCTTGTTGGCCTGACGGTCTAGATCATGTGGAGCTTTCCAACCTATTCATCAATAAAACATCCGCTTTGACTGAACCTCTCTTAAAAATATAAACTTTATGTGGGTTTTCTGTCTTGTGCGAAATTGAGTGAGGGATTCTGTGAGCATTTGGTGGTAAAAGTATTTCATCTAAAATGATAGTAAACGTGAATTTCTGGACAACAAAGTCTATAAAGACACCACACTACCCTCACTGCCGGATTTAGGGGAGGGCAACCGGGGCGAAAGCCCCGGGGCCTCCACAAACGGGGGGCCCCCACAATAGAGACTTCGGAAAACAAAATCGAAATCATCAACGATTTTTCGGCGAAAAAAGCTCGAAAGGTTCCGTTCGTTAACTCTAAGATTTAATTTCAGATAATTCTTGTTTCCGTTTATATTTATATGTGTTTGTTCAATACTAAGGGAATCTACTTGGTTCACAATAAATTATTTATTGAAAAACTCGACTGAAAAAAAATTGTTTACTTTATTTGGAAAATAATTTGGGGTGAGGGGGCCTCCGCTCCTCTGTTGCCCCGAGGCCTCTGGACCTCTAAATCCGGCCCTGACTACCCTACACTTGAGATACCAGAATATCAATCTATATTCCTTGGCGTAATGATCGATGGCTTAGAGCGGTGTGCCTTGCGATGAGAACAAATGTACTAATATATTAGAAGCACGCCACGAAGCGAAGCCCACAGCGGCTAAGGCCCGTATTACAGAATGACAACTAAGTGTTGATCTTTACTTGAGTACATTTAGAACGGGATGTCGCTATGTGCTATATATAGTGACATCCCTTTCTAATTATGCTCAAGACTAGATCAATCACTGAGAATCTTTCTATAATACGGGCCTAAGAGCCTACTGATGACACAGAACGTTGCTGCGCTCATCGCTGAGAAAAAATCGTCCGGGCAGTTACGACTTTTTATTCATATGATATAGGATCTTTCGTACAGGGCTTATTTATGAAGATGTTGTGTTGTTGCAGCTGGCGAGTGGCATGGCGTGGCGTTCTGGTCGTGGGTGTGCGCAGGCGCGGCGCTGGTGCTCTCGCTGCTGGCCGCACTAGCGTGCTGGATAGCGCGACGGCGCAACTCGCTCGCACACAAACTAGGTATGTTCTGCCCTGTCTGCATGGAGTGGTATACTGGTCGTGGGTGTGCGCAGGCGCGGGCTGGTCTTGTCGCTGTTGGCCGCGCTAGCGTGCTGGATAGCGCGACCGCGCAACCCACTGCACTAAAACTAGGTATGTTCTGCCCTGTCTGCATGGCATGGTATACTGGTCGTGGGTGTGCGGTGGCGCGGCGCTGGTGCTGGATAGTGCGACGGCGCGCTTACTAGCACACACCCTTTCACATATGTAAGTAGTATAATATATATACACAACCAATTTTACATCTAGATAAATCTAACTAGTTACCAAAAAGATGTCAAATCGGTTGATAGATACTTAGAATTTTATATCGAACTAAGCAAAACTAAATAATGTAGAAAAGAAGTCGTGAATAATTAAGACACTAAAATATTTAATAAAGACTGAGTAGAAGACAGACTATCAAGGTAACAAAAGGAAACATTAACGTTAATAAATAACAAAAAAGTCATGAACATGAATTAGGATCACGACTCGGATAAAGGAGAGGCAGACCGAAGAGAAATGGATAAACCGTATAAAGAATAATTTGCGAAAAACACTGAAGTGAAGTTGAAATGATGTCTGAGCGCCTATTACAGAAAACATTTTCTTTTTTATGTAATTAGGGTGGCAAACAAGCATAGGGCCTGCCTGATGGAAATCGGCCGAACTTCGTCGTATGGTTGTTGATATTTTCGACTTCGTTTCAAAGTAAGTAAGAATAATTTGCGAAAAACACTGAAGTGAAGTTGAAATGATGTCTGAGCGCCTATTACAGAAAACATTTTCTTTTTTATGTAATTAGGGTGGCAAACAAGCATAGGGCCTGCCTGATGGAAATCGGCCGAACTTCGTCGTATGGTTGTTGATATTTTCGACTTCGTTTCAAAGTAAGTAAGAATAATTTGCGAAAAACACTGAAGTGAAGTTGAAATGATGTCTGAGCGCCTATTACAGAAAACATTTTCTTTTTTATGTAATTAGGGTGGCAAACAAGCATAGGGCCTGCCTGATGGAAATCGGCCGAACTTCGTCGTATGGTTGTTGATATTTTCGACTTCGTTTCTCAACTTAGACATTCCAAAAACGCCGTTCGTCCCGCCCCGACCAAGATATATTTAAAAGAAAAACAAACAAAGAGATCATAATGAAGCCAAATTATATTACCAAGGATTAATTAATCAATCTTTGGGACAGAATTGTGAATGAACACTACCTTGGTTGGGCACACGAAATGAAATTTGATTCTATATCATTTCATTCGTATGAATCTTGAACTAGTCGTGCAAACAAATGTTAAGGTCAATCACACCATTTCCATTACGAAAAGGACATTACTGTAGGCGGATTGCGAATCGGGTCGTTGTGGGGGCGGGACCCTATAAACACATTCTTATCGTGATTGATCGATAATATCTTACGAGTATAGGAGCTTGATGGCGCAGGTGGTTAGCGTATTCAACTTGCGATCGTGAAACTTAAGCAACTTTCGCAATGATCAGTCATTGGATATGTGACCAAAAACTTATTATATACCGTATTTCGGAAGGCACTAAAGTGCAGCCGTTGATCGCGGCTGCATCTGCAGTCGTTAGCACCTACCAATACCACTTTAACTATACATTGCAGGCGGGAAGCGCGGTCCAGACAAGGCACTAGTGTTCCAACCACCCAGACGCGCCACGGCGGTGCGTTCCCCTGGTTCTGCCACCCACTACCTGCGCAAGTCCCCCTCGCCAACCGCGCCGACGGCACCATCTGCCAACTCGCCACCGCAACCTCAGCCGCAGTCACAGAATACGGTAAATTCACATTTCTCCTTGTATCATTCTGCCAACCCTGTATCCTTCAAAAAGAGATTTGGTTGTATCTTCACTTCTGGACTACCGTTACTTAGCATCAGGTGGGGCTGGAGTCATTTGTCGGACCTATCTATAAAAAAAAAACAAATCTTCCCAGCTGACTACGAGGGAGTATGTACGCCTCAGATGAATAGATGCTGCATCTAGTAGTTGATCGAAGGTTGATCTACTAATCTTAAGGTACTGTCATCACAATGTCTGGAAGTCTGGACTCCACTTACACATGAAATCAGGACTTTTCTTTTATGAAAAATATTTGCAAGAATATGGCTGCTTCGTTACTTTATTTGGTATAAGTTTATTTGGTGGGTATGTTTGCGTATGAATGTAACCAAATTTCTGGAACAAATTACAGCTGTAGATCTATGTCGCTGCGAAATCTGATGTTATTTTCTTCAATATTACGTTTTTTAAGTTTTAATACAGCTTATGCTAATGGTGTTGATTCTGCCATGGTTCTCCAAACTTATAACATAATTTAACATCAGTCTCTCATTTTCATTCTGTATAGAGAATGACAAGGATACACTTTTGTTACATTTAAGTTTAGGTTAATAGAATCATGTCAGAATCGAAACCATTGTCTGATATATATTTAAGGTATTGAACTTAATAACTTTTAACTCAGACTATCAAGTTGTATGATTTATGAGCAGATTATGTATCTGGGTCTTTCGGAAATGGTTCTTTATGTAATGATCAATGTTGCCTTACGCTGTGCCAGCTTTTGCTAACAAGAACTTTTGACATTATGAAGGATCGGTTCAAGCCTCCAGGTAAACAGCTTCTGGCTTGTGATATCTGTGTGACGCTTTTCGACGACGTGGGACGTATATAAATATAACATTGTGTATTAAATATTTACTTAATATCTTCTTGTCCCATGTCTCCCAGTCGGGGCTGAAGGCCGAAACGGTATTCCTCAGCCTCGACCTTTCGGAGGCTGCACGCTTGTCTTCGCTTCAGGTTAGTCCAGATAAAGCTTTAATGTTTCACCCTCAGATTACAGACAAAAGGCAGATCGAGTGCACGGTACACAGATTACGTGCCACCAAAGCAAATATAAAGTCAAAATTAAAGACTTTTTGTCTTTGTCAACAGTTTTTACAATATTTGAACAAGGTGGCACAGTTTTGATAAACGCTTTGTAGTGTACTGACGCCAGTTGATACTGACTATTGCCGTGATATTTGCTTTAGTGGCACCCAATCTGTGTACCGTGCCTTTAGTTCTGTAATCTGAGTTTTCAACATTCCTTTAATCTTTGTATATTGTATTTTCAGAATATTAATAGTCAAGAAATAATCTGCTTGGGCGTCTAAATGTTATTTTAAAGTTGAAGTACACTACAAGAACACTGTTCTTCAAAAAATATGCATGATTCTTAACAACTAAAAGCGTACCTACTACTTTATATTAGCATTTAAATTCAAACGAAAACCCATTCCGACTTCTAATACCAGTTAAACCTTTCCGACTTTAATGAATCCGTGAAACATGATTTGATGTTTTCTGAGAACAGCGCTTCGTTAAATTGTGGGTACGCCTATAAAATGTTTAGATATAATGACAAACGAATCACTCAAAAGAACAGGTAGCCTGGTAAGCAGCAGAATAAATGTGCTTTTCATTGTTAATTGGTTGTAATGCTTACTGATTTCATTCTTACAGCACGCACGCTACTTATTTGGTGTTTGGCCATGTTATGTTTGGAAAAGTGCAAAAAACAAATAGGTACTTCTTGACTCGCAATAGAAATGGTTAGCCATATTACACATGGAACGTTAAACTTTTGACTTAGGTCGGTCATTCTCACGACAAGGTTTTCTTCGTATAATTTCCGTCACGATTTTTAATTATCATTAAATTCCTTGCACTGACAATAAAACTTAAAAAATACGTTAAACTTTATAAATTTGTGCATTTGGCACATTAATTAACTATTTGGTTTTGGATTAATAATACTTTTGAGCGGGACGAAAATTAAATTCGAATTTCTGTTTTAATAAGACATACATGGGTATCAAAATACAAAATCATTGTTCACATATAAATGGTAAAAAAAACTAACCAGTTGTGTGAAATAACAAAAAAAAATATTAAAGAATCAGCTCAGTCGGCGATTGTTAATTAATTCATTATGTATATTTAAACAGAATAAAATAATAACAAACAGTAGTTTTTAGCCATTTTATATTTTTCTTCGCGTTTTAATTTTTAATTATAAAAAAATAGGTTAATCATATTGAATAATGCTTTAAGAGTGAATTCAACGTTACATTTGTGCATAATAATCATTCAACAGAAAAAAATTCAGGCATAATAAAATAAAATAAACAAGCGAACGGAAATTAGAGAAATCGTAAACCATGCGAATGGAAATTACTTTTTTATGTTAACTAGTGCGACAGCGAAACACTAGACATCAACTGCTTCGGTTACTGACGTACCTATTCCTAATCCTATTAATATTATAAATGTGAAAGTTTGTATGTTTATTACTCAAACGCAAAAACTACTGAACGGATTTGGATGAACTTTGGTACAGATATAGTTTATAATTATGACCTGGATTGCATCATAGGATTCTTTTTATCCCGGAGAAATGTTAGTTTCCTGAGGGATTTTCAAAAACTAAAGTTACCGCGTCGAAGTCGCGGGCGGCTCGTATCCGATATGAATAGGTATAATTTATAAAGATAATGAGATATTTATAATTTCTCAACCAGTGGCAGACATTGGGTAAAATAAAGAATAAGCATATTTTTACTTAAATCTAAATAAATACACTTGTTATACCGGTTATATTTTTTACTATCAAAATATATTAATCTTCTTTCAAAATATATAGTCATAAATGTATAATCATACCATGTTTTTATATTTTAACAAATTAAGTGTTTAATTATATTTCTTACGAAATAATTGCTAGAACTTAAAGTTGCCCCAAAACAATAATTAATCCCAAAATATTACAGACTTAGTAGATATGACTTAGTAGCTCACCAGATTTTTAAGCATGGACGCTCAAAAATCTGGTCAGCTGGGAATGACCGAGGTACTGATTTTGTATTCAACGGTAAATGAGTAGAAAATGTTCATTCGACGTATGAGAATTCAATAAAATTAATGCACTACAAAATGGATTCAATGAAATTATAAATTTAACTGAGGTATTACACTTTCAAAGGTAATAAAGTCGTGTGAAGCCTGAATGAAGCCTTTTACGCTTATCTATAAATTGTTTATAAAGCGTGTAATGATGTGAAATTAAAGTTTATGAATTAAAGGCTCATAAAAAGGGTGCGCGGAATAAAAAGCAATTAGCAGTGGTTGACAATAAGATCCCGAGTCTTATACCATATTATGGTGTGTTTTAACTCAGTCGCCCGGAGGAGGGAACAGCCCGCACACCCCAACCGCGCCCTCAGAGCCCGCCCCGCTCAGCAAGGAGCTGGCAGACGCCAACGCGACGGAGAAGATCAAACCTGTGGAGAATGAGACCAACGATGGACGCCTGGGAGACCTGCATTTCAAACTTCGGTACGTATTATTAGATTAGTTTCCAGAAGTTAAACCACAATGTTAATTTTCCACTTGCTTTATTCAACTTGTACTTCACTGTAATATAAACTAAAATTATTATAACAAGAATATTTAGCAGCAACACCACGTTACATTTTGGACCACTATTCACGACGAAGGCTCTCGACTGAATACCGTATTTATGACCGCTCCACTCGCTAGTCCGTCCCCCCTTCACGTCACGTGATAAGATGGTAGGGAGGTAAGGTGATGTGGCGTGATTTAGCATAGACAAACTAAGATAAAAACAATAACTGTACTATTGACCGATCTGTAAAAAATGCTAACATTATAAAAATGCTAACAGCTCGGCCATCCTGCATCAAGCGAGACCCTTCGCGATTTGGTTTACAATAAAGACAGGTTTATTATTATATTTGTTTCTTAGGTTTTCACGCACATCACTCATTAAATAAAACTAGTTTTTACGGGTTAATGCACGAAACTTTATTTATTTATTGACGTTTCGTAGCCTTTACAGGCTTCGTCATCAGAATAAAACTTTTGTTTAATTTGTCGAGCTACCTTCGAAAGACTTATTGAGCGTTTGGTTATTTCATTGTTCGATTTTTAAGTTTTATTGTCTATGTATGAATTTATTATTTAATTTACTTAATAAAGTATTTTATTTAAAATTCTTGTTTGTAATTTTGAGTTTATTTATTTGACCCTAACTACCGTAAACTACCACCGGTTCCAAAATTGGGAGACCTTCCTGAGAAGAACCGGCGAAACAAACTCAAGAGAGGCTTTCTATCTCCTTCTTATGTTAAATTATGCAAACAAAAAGAACTAATAGTATCTGATGGTCTTGCAGTGTGTGCTCGGGGTTGGGATTTTATCTCCTGTATAATAGGTTCCCAAGCTGGTGGTATATACCAACCATCTTCCCTATTAAAATATGGATATTTTTTTAATCTCAATAGCCTCGCGCATCATTCGAGGAACGAACCGCCGCTCAGCTGCAAGGATCTGTGGTCTATCAAATCTAATGTAGTGGTTTGGTCCCCCTAATATTATTATATAATATTATTTTACAGTCTTATATAGTTTCTCTAAAATATAATGATTCGAATCATAATTTATTTTCATATTGCCATTTAAGAAATAGCAATAATAAAGCAACAAATAAACAAAACAAATTAGCTAAAATACCGTAAAATATAATTACATTCAAATAACCGTTCTAAATTATCTTAGATTCTTTTTGATTTTATAACAATGGCATACACTTTAATAAGACTATATAAAAATAACTAACACATTCAGGTACAAAGCTAAAAGTATTGAAACAAACAAAAAAAAACACTAAAAGATACACATTTTTACATTAAAGAAGACTACTTTCTTCTGCCAGAGGGCGCTTACAAGCAAACACTGTCTTTGCACTAGCTCTCAATAATTTATTCGATACATTTGTACTTGTCAAGAGAATATTTATCAAATTTTTATCAACCCAAGTGTCTCGTTATAGCGGCGAACTGTGACTGCTATCTCGCTGCTACTGCGAACTGTTTACAAGAAACTACAAATTGGTGCATTAATGGATTTACCAATCTTATGACTGATATTTTGTGATTGTTTCGTGCAGTTTGGGAACCCTCCGCGCTTTGTTGTGACACTCTGCCTGGTACAACAAGTAATTACTGTGTAATAATTGGAAAGCATTTCAAACCCAAACGTTCAAAATTGCTTTATCATTCCAATTAATGCATCTGCAACGCCATCCATGAGGCGCCCCGCGTACGCGCTGCTCTGGAACGTGTATTGCTGTTAAGAAGCAACAGCGCCTTGACGCACACCAACGCCGCTTTTAGACCTTTAGCACTGCTTGCTGCTTTACTATTGCCACGCCTTGCCTATCACTGAACTGGAGCTACCCAACAGAGTCGTAAGAGGGCAGCATAAATACACTTACCCACCACTTTCCACTATGGATTGCAGCGCTCAGTGCAACAAGAAGATTAACTCGAAGGATGACTATATTGTGTGTAAAATTTGCACTGGAAAATACCATCGATTATGTCTAAATATAAGCAAAAAGATCCCTCTTTGACGACGGCTCAGGCGCCGGAGTCCCGGATGTGCCCAGCATGCCCGAATGCAAACACTCGACGGCGCGGCTCTAATGTTAATACACCGGTTGGCGGGCATCACCAATCTGCCCCCGACTACAGTATGAACATGTCCCTCGACAACAGCTCGCCGCAAGGAAAGGACTGCGATGCGGTTACGATGGATAAAATAAGCAACTCACTAGATCATAAAATTCAAACCTCTGTATCGGCCGTACTTGACGAGAAATTAAACAATCACCTGAAGATACCAAAAAAAAATTAAATCAGAAATTCAATCCGAGATTAAAAATTTAGAAAATAATTTTACGTCTACAACCGACTTTATTTGCGCGGAACAGATCACACCAAAGTCCTTGGTCACCGAAAATAGAGAAAAAATTAAAATTTTGGAGAATGAAAATAACAAATTGAAATCTGAACTTTCTTTATTAAATAATAAAACCCCTAGCATGGAGAACCTATCTCGAAATCATAATTTAGAATTGCAAGCGGCTCCTGAGAGTCGTTCAGAAAATGTGGTGACTATATTTAGGAACCTTTGTAGCACAATAGGTATGGCAATCGAAGACTCAAATAACCGCCTGTAGAAGGGTTGACAAAATGGACCAAAAGTCAAGTCGCCCCAGAAATATTCTTGTGACTCTGTCTTCGCCTCGTTTGCGGGACACCGTCTTGTCTTTGGTAAGACGTTACAATAAAGCAGCTAAAGAACCCATCAACGCACTCAATGCCTCACACCTCGGATCCACAGACAACAAAACAAGAGTTTTTGTTACTGAACACATCTCTCCGAACTGCAAACCGTTACATGCCGAGACAAGAAGGGTTGCGAAAGACAGAAAATACACTTTTGTTCGGATTAAATTCGGTCGTATATTTGTTAGAAAGGATGATGAATCAAGTTCTATTCACATTAAAACCTTGGGACTGTCTCAACAAACTTAAGAAATTAATCTTAATCTGTCTAAATAAGTTCTATTTCCCTTTTCTATTTATTTTGTTCAATTCATCTGGACCTTTGCCTGTTCCACAATGTTAGCATACCATCAAAACGTCAACCGGATTAGAAGCAAGCCCGACGATGTTTACCCAAACATTCTTAACTGCAACCATGACGTGATCTATTCTACAGAAACGAACCTAAATGCGAGTATCGGCAATGCTGAGCTCTTTGACTCCAGATATGTAGCCTTTCGCCGAGATCGTGATAGCACTTGTATAAAAAAGAGAGAGGGGGGTGATGTAGCTTTAGCGGTAAAAAAAAAGACTTTAAATGCTCGTCGACCACTTGAATGGCAATCTGAGGCTAAGGATGCTTGGGTCAAAATCAGTACGCACTCTAATAAGTCCTTGATCGCTTGCTTATGCTATTTGCCGCCTGATCCCGAGCTAGACAAACTAAAAGCCTTTTATTCCAACTGTCAGGGGAAAATGATCCATATGGGGGATCAACACCGACTTCCTGTGCATTGGCGACTTTAATACGCCTACCATAAACTGGACTAAACGTACCACAAGCTCATATATGTGTCCAGGCCCTATATCTGTGGGAGCCAAATCTGAGCTTCTCTTGGAGACTCTGGACATCTGTAACCTCAAACAGTTCAATAACATCTCTAATAAAAATGACCGTTACTTAGACTTAGTCTTACACACATCTAACTCCTTAAGCGTTCATGAGGCACACTCACCGAGTCGCACTGATGACCATCATCCACCTTTGCTTATAGATACCACTTGCCAAACCTCCACTTCTAATGTGATCTCGCGAGCCCGCAGCAAGAGACTCAATTTCTACAAATGCAATCCTGCTAATATTCGTGATGAACCGAACTCTGTAAACTGGAATGAGTACTTGGCCCGTGCAAACATTGATGACTCTGTCAGTAAGTTCCACGAGATATTGAATCAAATCATTTATAAACATACACCCTAAGCGAGCAATAGATCCAATAAATTTCCTTTCTGGCTTAGTCCCGCACTGATTCGTTGTATGAATGAAAAACCCAAGTATCACAGGCGGTACAAAAAATATGGTAACCCTCGTGATTATGACTCCCTTGACTTGCTTCGTGCTCGTTGCAAGTTACTTTTGAACAAATGTTATAGGTCCCATCTCGAGTCTGTTGAAAGTTCCGTCAAACTTAATGTTAAAAACTTCTTTAGATATGTAAACGACAAAAGAAAATCCACTGGCATACCCCGAACCATGACACACGGCGACGTCACATCCTCAAATGTGGAGGAGATATGTGAAATGTTTTCGAAACACTTTAGTTCCGTCCATGAAAAAAATAACTGCTATCTCTACTCGCCTAACAAAACAGCCAATCGTGGTTTGCTTCTGTCAGACGCAAGGATAAACTATGATAGCATTAAAGCAGAAATACGGTCTCTTGACATTGGTAAAGGAGCCGGCCCAGATCAAATCCCTCCTCACTTTATAAAGAGCCGCCGCGATGAGCCCAGCGCTCCTCTGTTCATACTTCTCAATAAGTCATTAGAGTGTGGCACCCCTCCTAGTCTTTGAAAGACTGCATATGTTATTCCCATATATAAATCTGGTGACAGAGAGCAAATCAGCAACTACAGACCCATCAGTATTTTGTCTCGCTTTGCCAAGCCACTTGAATCTCTAATATATGAGACACTCCACTCACATTTCAAGCCATTTCCATCACCTCATCAGCATGGTTTCCTGGTTAAGAGATCAACAGTAAGCAATCTCTTAGAATATAAATCCTATCTGTGCTCCGCTTTTGCCAAAAGGTGTTACAAAGTTTTATATAAAACAAACAACAGTAATTAGTCAACCTCATCAGAACTTTCTAAATTTTGACCTCGGCCACTACAACAGGGCACTCCTAGGTCGTCCGCATT